TCAATGGAACTGGCATATTGAGCCTGGCAGGTCAGTCTTATGTGAATGACCAGTGACTGGCTGTTTTGTTAATTGCAAAGCATATTTTGCCAAATGATATCAGGAACAAAGATATGGTCAAAGCACTTTCAATTCCTTGACTTCCTGAATATCTATCTATATATCTATGCACACACACACATACATGCGCACACACGCACACACACATATATATACCCACATGTTATGTATATATGTATATATACATATATACATACCCACATATACATATATATTTTTAAATATATACACATAAATATATAAATATGTATTTTTTTTTTTTAATTCAAGTGAATGCACTGAAAATCAGTGGACTAAGTTAGGGCCATAGCGTTACAAGGAAACCCAACATTTGGTCACTAACACCCAACATTTGGGGCTAACTGTGGCATTTGCTAAGGCAGGATGAACCTGAGGAGGTGATTGGTTTTATTGGCCAGGATGTGTTCAGGGGCAGATGTAGCTTTGAGGGTCAGGACTGCGGAGGTAATTGTGGATCCAAATGATCCCCGGCTTGCATGGAGCCTACCTGATTTAGCCAGAGCACGTTTTATGCTCACTGATGCTTTTAGCCAGATGACTCCTTCTTATGGTTTAACATATCCAGATTGTTGGCTTGCTGATCAGCCTTGCGAGTACAAGTGAGGCCCTTTGGTAGTGCTGCTGGTGGATTACACTTGCCTTACAGACAGACTAAGGTGTATCGAACTTTGTGCAGTTGTGAGGAGCAAAATATGGACATGTGTCATAATAGGGTAGGAGGGGGCCCTTTTTAAATGCTCCTGTGTTGAGAGTCGCTGCATTAGAGGATAATAGTTTTAAGTGAAGCCACATTTCTAACAAGGGACCAGATAACAAGGATAAATGAAAGCTGCAGACAGTCTAGAAGCTTCATTTTAGCCATTATTTATAATCTCTTCTCCTATGAAACCTTTGCTACATAGCAAAATTGATTAATTTGCATGTATCTCTCTCTCTGGGCCCACATGCTCTCTGACAGAGGAGTGAACAAATAGCGGCATGGACAAGGGAGGAAGGAGGACGGGGCCAGGTGAATAATCAGCTCTAGACTAATCAAGATACATTTTAGGGTCTCAACATTAATCTTGATATTTAATCTTTCTGGGCAATGTTAAAAACGAAAGATTGTATAATGGCATTAATAAAAATCACTCGCTATGGAACGGTTCCGAACAAATAGGACTTTCTTTTTAGCATGCAATAGGAGTCTGTTGAACTGGCCTTAATGTTCCTCTCGGCACACACAGATATGGCTCTGTTTAATTCCATATCCTCTTATCTATAAGTCCTACATTTCATTTACTACCATTCGAATTGATTTATAGCTTTGCTTAGCAAAAGTACAGTCTTGATTAAAAGGACATTATCACAGCTGATGGACCTTGAAAGCATTTTTTTTCTCAAACCTTCTAATAACATTTGACTCCCATAAGGCTCGATTTGCAAGTCCCCAGTTTTTGTGCACCTGGCTGTACTTCGGGCAGTGGCAGTTGGGTGTATGTTAGGGGCACTAGGGGTGACATAAGGTTTCCCCGGTGCTACCTCCTTATTCATCCCTGAAACGGAAGGTTAACTACAACGCTGAGGTAGAGTTTTAGTTTGGTGTAGGGAATCTCAGTACCCTGGTGAGCTGATCTCTTCTCTAGCTGATCATTGCCACTATAGCCTTTGTCTCTGGGGATGCAGCTAGGCCGAAGGATTCTCCAGTTTAACAGAGGATTCGATTATCATACGAATATCATGTTTGATTATTACGATATGAGGGTTGCATTTTGGAGTCGTAGCTGGTGACACATTCCTCCCTCAAAACAATACGGGATTAGTTTTCACGCTCATTGCAGTCGAAAGGAATTAATTTGCAAAGCCACTGATTTCCATGGGTTGGCCACATTCGGTCATTCTCCACAGCAGGCCATATTCCACTCCCCGGTTTTGATTGCGCAGTATGACTCTTTGGTGGCGTCTGTGGTTCTGGGAGCAAAGGAAAATGCTGTTGCTCAACAGGTGACAAAAAGCTATTATGCTTTGATTCTGGTCAGAACATTATTGCCATTCTCCTGGATTCCAACGGTTGAAGAAATGAGTCACTGTGGTTTTGGATTTCTGTCACTCTGGAGTATTTTTTTTTTTTAACCTATGAAATAAGTTACTTCTCACAAAAGGTTCACTTTAAAATCACCATACTTACATTTCAATTTACAGATACTTTCAACTGTTCAGAATCCTAGGAACACAGAAAAGAACTAAAAATTGTAAATGTGGTACTAATTCTAGATGGGAGAAGTTTGATTATTTTTTTGGTCACATTAAGTTCAATGGTGGGCCCTTCTGAAAATACAGAAGTAAACGAGTCGTTTTTATCTTGGTCAGCATGTCTTTCCAATTCAGTCTTAACCTCTGTCACCTCTTTCTTTCTACTTACATAGTCATATATATATATAAATATGTAAATATATATCTGTAAATGTATCTACACACACACATATATAAGCTTTAGTGAGATACCGTTCATACACCATGCAGCTGGTCGTAATCACCTTTAATTGTTAAATTACTAGGCTTAAAACTCTCTGAAATTTTTGTTAAAAAACACAATGCACTCCTGTGAAGAAAGGATTTAAGTGTCTAAATCACCTCCAATTTGCCTAAATCACTTTTTTTTTTCAATACCCAGCCACAATCTGTCAGAGCTAAACCGATTATTAGAGGCTTTGTAGTTAACCTAGAATAAAAATCACCTGCAGAGTTGTTCTTTTTCCAAACTATACTTGCTGAAGCATGAAACCTTCTGAGATTCTGATAAACTTCACGGCTCCCATTCCCCCCGCCCCATACCAGTTAAATACCCCTGATTTTGTGTAACACTCTCATCTCACAAATAGCGAAACCTTCTTCTTCCTCTCACAGTTTTGGTTAGACACCTTAATAAACACCAAAATTCTTTCCCATTTTAACATGACAGATTTTTGATAAATTGAGTCAAAGATTCGCTGCAGTGAAGGACGGGAGCACAAACTATTTCTGCTGTATATTTTTAAAAACAAGTTACGACGGAGCCGATCTTGTTGAAGGAAAGAGACTTCAAAGTCACAGATCAGAAAGTCCGTATACAGAAACTGTTGCAAATTTGTCATTGTGTCAGTACCGTGTCAGACACTGGGGAGATTAGTAGATGTCCTTTATCCTGGAAATGCCTGATAGCTAAGCCTCATATTTCTTCTCAGCTGTCCACAGTCATTTCCCACAGGTTATGGGAGGCCTTACTGTGTTAGTTTCTAAACAGCTGCCCTGAGTGCATTTTCAGCAGAAGGAGATTCATAAGAACACTGATATTAAATAGAAGAAATCGCCACACAGATAGCCTTTCATAAAACAAACTTCTCAGAAGATCTGGCAGACTGTAATGTATGGATGTGTGAAGAGGCCCCGGGGAAAGGACAAAATGGATTTTTTTCAGAGGACTTCTGCTTCCCTGAGAAACTGGGAAACTTCAGGCTAAGGGCAGAACAAGCAAAGGAGGCTTTCGGGGACTCCTGCTCTTCTTCTAGACCTCAACATGCATGTAGATGGAAAGAGTCCAGGTCTATGACTTCACTCACCTGCTCTGAAAAGAATCCTCTTTACTGGATAAAAATGTTTTCCTGGTCTTACATCCTCCCTCCAGTCCTTCGGGTGACCTTACACTCCCCTGGGGGACCGTTGATCTAAAGTGACTGCAGGCGTGCCTGGGTGGCGCAGTCGGTTAAGCGTCCGACTTCAGCCAGGTCACGATCTCGCGGTCCGCGTCGGGCTCTGGGCTGATGGCTCGGAGCCTGGAGCCTGTTTCCGATTCTGTGTCTCCCTCTCTCTCTCTGCCCCTCCCCCGTTCATGCTCTGTCTCTCTCTGTCCCAAAAATAAATAAACGTTGAAAAAAAAAATTAAAAAAAAAAAATAAAGTGACTGTAGGTTTGGGAGAATGGACTGGAGTTGTTATACTTTTGAAATTTCATTTTTACTCTCAGCATTTACAAAGAAGAAACTCCCGTGATCCTCAGTTCTGTATACCAGTCTGCAGGATATGAGGGGGAAAGACAGATTCCTTCTGACGAGATGCTAATCAGAGAAAAAGTATATTACTTTCTTAAAACATTAGCCAGAAATTGCCCACACTCAGAGAACCCCCTCTTCTTAAGGCATCGCCAAAAGTCTTCATGCTTCACATAGAGTTATAGTGGTCTCTGTGTTAATAGATAAGAAACTGCAAAAATGCCCTGCCCCAAAGCGATTTGAAATCCCTATCACTCGTAAATTTAGCAGTAGCGTGTAAGGGTAATGATGTAGACAGACAGTGAGGGTTTGCCACAGGCCCACCGTAAGCCATGACATATATCTTAGAGATATCATATGGAATGGGGTGATGATGTCGGATCTGGTGGTGGTTGGCTTTTTTCACTGTCCCCTGGGTTTGCTCATCTACATACAACTCAAGGTTTTAAAGAGACTCAACAGTTTGGGAAGGGAGTCAGCAACCCCACGAGTTTCAGAACTGAATCTGAAGTGGCGACTGTACCTGAAAAGAGGATGTGTATCTGCTGTCTCTTGGGAGTCAGCTTCCTTGGTCTAGTTCCTTACTGTCATGAGCCACAGTTTGGGAGCAGGGGCAGGATTCTTGCCATCTGCTGTCTCATTCTACCTACAAGCCCCAGAATGGGTGTTCCGGTTCCAAACAGAGTAGCATAGCCCAACACATGTTGGGCACACGTAAATTAATGTTTTCTGTCTCTGTGGCCATCATAACGGCCCTCACACCCAAAGTCAGGGCTTTGGAAAGAGAAAAATGATAGGCCCTTTTAAAAACAAGGGGAAAGGAACATTGCATTCTCTTGAGAGTTAAATTATAACTTTTTCTTTCTGTTTCGATGAAGAAGACTGTACTAATAAAACTGCCAATTTCTTTCAGGTGGGTGTACATGGCATTAGAATAGAATTCATCAATGAAAAAGGATCAAAACGCACCGCCACCTACCTACCGGAGGTTGCAAAGGAGCAAGGTCATTGTTGTACTTTATTTCGTATGATCTGGTGAAGAATTTGAACACATATACAAATTGCAATGCGATATCTGACCTTGCAGTTATGTCTGATAATTGATCAGTGTCAAATCATAAGAAGTGATTCTTCCATCACTGCCACTGCAATGTCTGTATGAAATTGGTGAATTCCTCACACAGGAGTCGAGTCCCTGCACTAAAGTTTGATAGCAAAAACACACAACAGTGTACTTTCCCAAAAGCAAAGATTTGTAAACTTTGGGTTTTATTCTTAGGCGATGGCTTGCTACGAATTTGAAGTGCCATATTCCCATATTCCATTGTGCTGTATAGCCTTTTGGCACAAACAAGCCTTTTGTTTGACAGTCAGCCAGCCACTCAGTTCATTGTCAGTATCAAATGTTTCATTTTTAGGTGGTTGCCTGTTACTCATTTGCTAGTATTAGCATTGTAGGTTTCCCATTAAGATCTGGAGCACTGAGATTAAATGAATTATTAGTGTCTGATATGCCTGCTCTGCGCTTCCTAATCAAAAGTTTGTTTTTGCAGATGTAGCACAAACCTTTATGAACCACCACTGTAACACAAAATAAGTCTTCACTCTGTAGTATCTGGTCCTTTGTAGCCACTACTGAATTCCAATCTCATGTTAGTTGAAATGAATATTTCTTTATCTTATGGAGCTTATCTTTCTCATCAGAAAGCATCTGTCATTTGGTTTTCTCACGTTTGTTTCATATAAATGTGAGATACATCACAGTAAAGTCTAATATCATTAGATTCCCCCCCCCTTTGCCCCCCCATCCCCCAGACAGGAGAGTTAGATTTGAAGACAGCTATCTGAAGATTTATTTGGGTTGCTGTCGAAAATGTCTTAATCCTGTAGTTGTGTTGGCTTCGTAAAGCTTACAGAAGAGAGAGGGCCTCGGATATTAGTATACCATCCCATGTCAGAACCAATAAAAATGCCTCTGAATACTTCACACAAATAACACTTGACTGACCACAGAAGATACCATTAAGAACAATAATTACCATGAGTTAGTGTGGGAGTCTGAATTACTGCTGACTTGGCAGAATGACATTTAGGCCTTTCCCTCCCTTTTAGAGGTGTCACTGTCAGAGGGGAGTACGGTGTCTGTGGTTTGCTACCTAGACATGACTGAGCAGTTACGGCCAGCCTCTTAGATTTCTGGTCTTTGTGGTTGAGATTAAAAAAAAACAAACAAACTAATGTTGTTGGCCATCATGGGTAGCTAGGAATTTAAGGTGTGTGATGGTACATGTGCTTCCGTACAGGAGGAGACCGTAGCCCTTCTGTGTGATTGTTTTTAGGACCAAAGGACATGATGGCATTTGGTGACACTGATAGCTGCCGTCTACAAAGTCGTTTTGTATTTAACCGAAAGTGCTTGTTGCATGTGTTTGACTGGTATTTTATCTGGTCTGCTCTCCACAGGATGGGACCATATTCAGACCATAGACTCCTTGCTGAGGAAAGGAGGCTACAAAGCACCGATTACTAATGAATTCAGGAAAACCATAAAACTGACCAGGTACAGAAGGCATTTTCTAGCACAAGGCTAACCAGGACATTTTGATGCGTATGTCTATAATCCTTTGATTTCTCTGGTCTCTCTTACTTCTCTTTTCTGAAACAGAATGGAAATGAATGGCAGGGCCGGACTGAGGGTGGATACGGTGAACTCTGGTGGGCAGTAGGGCCTGTATGATGTACGAACCCATCCTTCCCATCTCTAGCTCTCTGCGATTACTCTGGCTTTACGTGAGCAAGCCCTCTGAGCCTTTTTCAACTACACTATAGATGAAAGTCACCTGAATTAGCGATTGGCTAGCTTTTGAATGGCTTAGCAGAAGCCCCGGATTCTGCTAAGCAGTCCTCAAATTTGAATTTAACCTTAGGATGTGGGCAGCGATAGAAGTCTACCGTGAAAGCTTACTAGAAATCACAGTTGAGCTAGACTTACAAATGCCAAATACATTTCTACGTGGGATTATAGGGATACTTTTTTTTTTTTTTTAAATACCCAACATTTTCGGAAAATGGATTGCTGTTTCCATTTGTTTCAATTCTGTAAAACCACACTGAATGCCTGTAGTCTAAAAACGGACTTTTCTCAGCTCTGAGGAGTTACAGATTTGAAAATGCCTTCCTCTCTGCCTTCCCCGGGTTCAGCCTAGGAGAATAGAAGGGCATGCACAAGAATAATTATTAATATAAGGCAGAATGTGATGGGTGGTATGAGATCATACAATAGGGAAAGAGGAATATTCCAGGAGGGATATAGTTTTGAGGCTGGGCTTGAAGAATGGGTAGACTCTTTGAGGGATGGGGGGAGGGATTAATTTAGTGAGTCGAGGCAAGTTCTGAGGAATGTTCAACAGTAAGATGCGGCTGGTCTTTCAAATAGATCTGTAAGGAGGTGGTCATTAGAGCAAAACACGGCCGAGAAGGTGGGTTGGGTCATGTGACGGAGGGTCTTGAGTTCCAGATGAAGAAATTGAGACCTGATTCTACAGGCAGTTAGTAGCCATTGAAGGGTTTTAAGCACGTGGATTTGCGAAGGTGTAAGACTGGAATAGGCCACAGGAAAATTAGGAGGCGTTACTGCTACCCAAGAAGCTGTGGGAGCAATCCAAAGGAGGTGAAATGGGAGCGTTACTAAGAGCTGTGGCGGGAGGATGAGAAGAAAGGAGGAAACAGGTGAGAAAACACCGTGCAAGAAATGACAGGACTTAGTAACTATCATTCAGAAGTAAGGAACAGGAACAAGTCAAGGCTTTATGTAGAAAAGAAGGACCGAGGCAATCCCTTTGCCCCAGGGAGGGACCACAGGAGGAGAGCCCCGTTTTGGCACTGATTCTGGAGTTGAAGCGCCTCCTGGGGTGTCTGTGTAGAAACGTCCGGTATGTCACCGAAAATGTACACGTGCAGAAGTCATGGCCAGCGATGGTGACTTGGGATCATCTGTCAAGAGGTCATGGTTGAAGTTGTAAAGGTAGGGCTCATGGAGGGGGCACAGAGCATGGGGTCAAAAGAGCCGAAGGCAGAAACACAGCAAAGTCCGACAAGGCAGGAAGGAGCAGGAGGGATAGAGAGATAAGGAGTAGTCTGCGAGACAGGGGGCTGGGGCGGCGGAGAACCAGGCAAGTGCGTTATCGTAGAACCCGTGACACGGGAGAGCTTCAGAAAGGGAGCGGTGGGTGGTATCATACTGGAGAGGTCAAGCAGGAGCAGTTCAAACAAGGAGGGGTAGAGTAGAAAAGAGCGCTGGACTCAGACTTTGGATTCCTGGGTTCTGACCTCAGCCTTGCTACTTAGTTGTGTGACATTGGGCGAGTCACTTGCTTGTCTCTGGACCTCTGTTTTTCCTGTTGTGTAAGGTTATCTCTGAGGTCCATCCCAGCTCTGAGTTCAGTATGTCATCTGTTTCTTGATGTTAACTTTGTCTCTTCCCTGACTTTTTCAGGTACCGTAGTGAAAAGATGACCCTGAGCTATGCTGAATACCTTGCTCACCGCCAGCATCATCATTTCCAAAATGGCATTGGGCATCCCCTTCCGCCATACAACCATTATTCCTGACACTGAGCCGCACAACCAGTCACTGGGCCTCTCTGCAGACCTCTTCCCAGGAGACCCTACCCCTTCTTGGTCTAGCTATCTCTTTTACTGTACCATTTTATGATGATAGTTTCCGTTGCCATGATGAAGCTTGGACATTGTCTGTTAAGATCATCATGGTAACGGGTAGGAAAATGGCATTTGTTAAGAAGATTCTGTTTTATTATTTTAGGTCATTGATTTTTTTTTTTTTTTGCAGCATATATAACTTCTGGGGTTTTCTTTCCTCGCAATATTGCGTAGGATTTTGCTTTGCTCTCTCAATCAGGTTTCTGTCTTTCTGTCCTTCTTGCCTTCCTCCCTGTCGTCTCTCCTTCCTCCCTTCTGTCTTCTCTTCCCTCCTTCTTTCAACTGTGGATGGAAGAAATTGTGCAGTTTTTAAGGATTTTATTTAGGTTTTTCTTTAGTTTTCTTCAGTGAGATAGATAATTTTTGATAGCTGAGTTTGGGAGCAATTCATATCAAATTCAGGTATTTGTATAGGACTCTGGAATTTGCCTAAAATTCATTTTGCTATGAGAGCTTAGTGTGTGGATCTTCACTCCTTAGGTGTGTGTTTTTCCCATGGTTGAAATATATGAACTTTAGTTCTAGTATAGAACATTTGAAAGTCCATGATAGGGCTTGTCACAGAGAGTGAGAAACCATTTATGCCTATTTTGCTGGTTATCATAGAAGAGATGGCCTCATCACTTTATAAAATCAACTTACAAACAAAACTACAACACTGTTTTAAGAAAGTGCAAGCTGCCTTTCAAATATGCTACAGAAATCATTTTGAAGAGCAACAAATATCAGGAAGAGAGCAGATACAGAATTTAGTGCCTTTGAGAAGAATTTACTTAAATGGAAAGGAGAGAAGTTGGGGTGGGGGGGAAGGCAATTTAGAGAAATATTCTTATAAAATTTTATTGTTTCTGTATGTGAAACAGCAGATGAGACAAATTCCTTACTCTTAAGTATTTTTTTAAGGTGGAAAAAAATTTATTTTGAGCAATTAACCAAAAAGAGACATGTGTCTATGATATATTAATTTAAATTCGTTAGCTTTAGGTTTCAAGAAGTCATGATTGGCCAGAGGCAATTCTAGCTACTATTTAAAGAAAATAGTAAAGAGAATCTAGTGAAACAAAAGTTCATATATTGCCATGATTTCAGATTATGTTTGTCCTGGGGACAATACTGGAGTCTTTCTGCACTACATACTTCTGATAGAAACACCTTGACTGTGTTGGTAAGATGTTATGTCACACCTATAAAAATGGCATTTAGAGATGATATAGTCGTCAGAGCCCAGCCCGTTGGCCAGGCTGGTCTTCTTCCCCTGGTGCATACAAAGAGAACTTCCTACCATCAGTAGGAAGTCCGTGTGGACATCCCCAGGAAAAATGACAGATGATTCTGGAGAAAGATTACCTTCACTTTACTATAATAACTGTGTGTGTGTGTGTGTGTGTGTGTGTGTGTGTGTGTGCGCGCGTGCCCACGCATGTGTGTGGGTGGGTGTGTAATTTTTTTTTTCAAACAGGAAACTATATGTCAAATGAGGAAAAGAAGTATGGTGCAGAATATATAGTCCAAAACTACGAGATGTCACTGGATATCAAAATGGCAGAGCTTAGGTGACAAGCGACAGACTGCTAGTTCAGAAATCAAAAACCCTTTTCTAGCTTGCAAGGGAACTGCCTGAATCCCTTCTGCTTGCCGCTGTGGCAAAGCACACCGCTTTAGTTTTTGATGAGCATTCTTAGAAGTTGGTTGGTATTCCTTCATCCACAGCCCCCATTATTGGAATAACCATTTTCAGTTGTGATGCCTTAACTAGGAAGCCAATTGTTAGCCTGAAATGCAATCTCGGTAGCCGGTTTCACTGAGCATCGAGATTAGTCAGAGAAAGCTAGCTGTTGGTCTTTTGAAAGGGATTTCGAATCCTTTCGTTTCTACTTGGGAGCATTTTGGAGCAGATTAGTCTTTCAGTGTAAAACCAAGTGGCAACCTAATAGAGACTTATTTCTTGCCCTTATAGGGAAACTGAGCACAAGCTGAATGCTATTGTCTGCTGCAAAAAAAAAAAAAAAAAAGGGGGGGGGGGGAAAAAAAAACAACCAAACTGAAAAGACAGAATAGACCAATATTGACCCATCCTATCCATCATCTCATCAATTCAGCAGGCTCCTCGTCCTGGGTGAGCTCATGGTTAGAAGTTGTTGTGTTGTTTTTTTTTTAAGAAAAGATCTATGACATACATATGTGTGTGTGTATATACATATACTTACACATACATACACACATATGTGTGTTTATGTATTTAACGGTGCTAATCAATCTTGAGCAGGTCACGTGACTGGTCATGCGGACTCTAAAATCATATCAGATTTTTTAAAATTCTTGATATATGCAGATGTTATACAGATTTTTCTTAAACCAGTGTAATAATGTTATACTGAAGAAATAACCATCCTGCAGGCTTCAGAGGACAAGGTCAGCAATATTTCCCACCATGGCTTGGGGGAAAAGGATAGTTTTGTCTCCTTTTGTTTTCAAATTAATGCACAGTGCATTTTTGTCTCTAGCTGTTGACTAAAAAGACTTTGTAGCTTTGTGAAGGGTGTTATACAAACTGTAATGGTGTGCTTCAAACAAACAAACGCTAGACCCTTTCACCTCTGTCGTATACTACAAAGCTGTCAAATTTGTGGTTTGAATTCACTTCGAACATGTTGAAATATGTAGCATGTGTCTTTAACTCAGACGAAGATTCTGATTGCACAGGTTGTTTTAGCCAGTTGTGGTTTATTTGTTCAGAAACACAAATGTGAATTGCACTCTTATCACCAGAATATTGTATAAGTCAGCGATCTTTAAACAGCTCGGAAGTAATACTTGAACTTCATTTGAGTAGCACAAAGTTTACACTGCCCCCCCTTTTAAATGTTAATTAGCTCCATTTCTGTTTTTTGTTTTTAAATGCAACTGGGTATTTTTCCTCTTGGAAAACAGTAACGCGTTTTACTTTTTGGTATGTAGCAAAAGGCTTCCGTTTCTGGAAGGTTTTCTTGTTCTTAAACAAGGTTAGCCAGGTACCAGATTCTAAGAGAACAATTGTGCCCCCTCCCCCCCATTAAGTGGCCTTCTGACTGCACGAGAATGTGCTACTACCTACCCGCTTCAGTCTCCCCTGCCGCAAGAGGTCGGTGTATTTGATGGAGGAAGTGCAAGGCTCGCTCTTCCCCCCCCCACAACCCCCCCGCCAACCCCCTGTAAAGCAGTTGTAAGATTTTCAGCGCAGCACACACAGTCCCACCGCCCAGCACACCGGAAGTTTGTATACTGGCCTCTTTTCATGTCTTCAAATGTGCA